TGTGACTCCACATTTGCCTTTTGTGGCCCACTCCCTTCTTCGTTTAGCCTATGTGCCTCTTCTTCCCTTTGAAACCTTCTACTCCTCCGCTTCTCGAGTCAGCGCCGCCGCCTAATCCTTCCCGCAGGCCCTGCTACTTCTCAACCTCTACCGGCGCCGCCCCCCCCCCCAGCCGTCGCGGAAATGGAAGGCCGGGGCGAACGGATTTATGGAGTCGGAACCGTCTGACGACAGCCTTCCGCCCGCGCGGGGCTTCCGACCGGCGCTTCCTGGCGCGTAACGAGCCGGCGACGCCGCCACCGATATGCCCGATCCGCTCCGCTCCGCCCTGGGCTCTTTAAAAGCGCCTCACACTCGGCACGGAGGGCGCTTGCGAAAGCAATATTCGCTCTCGTCCGAGTTACGCACAAAACGCTCAACTCGTTAGGTGAGATTATTTTTGTTGGAACTGGATAACTAACATGGCGTGTATTTGTTTAATAAATGAGAAAGATTGGTTTCAACGTTTATGTGAATGTTTGCTACATTTCATGCGTGTTTATTTATTTTTTTAATGTTTCATTTAAGAGGTGAGCAATATTTTCAGTTTCTCGAAGTCCCTATGGAAATGCTTGGCATAAAATTCTATTGTTTTTAATGATAATTTTAGTTTTCAAAGACCCACAAAACACTCGCAGACACACTTTAACATTTGAAAATGAAAGGAAACATTTGCTTTCATCTGCGTGGGCGACAAAACGCTCGGTTCGTTAGAGCATTTTTATAATTGGACCGGATAACTTTTTCAACATTTTCTGCTTGCGTACAGGAATATTACTTTTGGTCCTTTTTGATCTATTTCAATTGATTGAGTATTTTGTTTATTTTTACTTCGAAATTTATTCAAGTAGGCAAGGATATTTTGTTTGCAGTTCCTGAAAAATACATGTAGACATTCGCCCATGGAACAAAATATTTATATAGATAATTGTATTTGATCTGCAATTAACAAACACATTTATTAGAATCACATTGAATGTCATTATGATCTATCTGCTTAAAAAATGAATGCAAAGGGACTGAGTAAAGACACTATTTCACTGAAAGACTTGATACAATTTCGCACAAGGTAGCGCAGCGAATGGAAATAAGTTCGGAGCACAATTCATTTTCTTCACGTCTTCTTTGAAGTGATGCTCAGCTGCAGCATTGTGAAACGAATGATTCCGTCTCAGACATGACGTTTGTGTAACAGCATGAATGCCGCTCAACGACTGACGTTCCCGTCCAGTTAGTCTTCGCAAAGAGCTCGAGGCGAGAAGGGCGTGGATAAAGCTTTCGCTCGCTGTGTTTCTTCTCTTTGATTGAACGGTGCTAAATCGATAGTAGCATCAAACCCTTTCATTACATGATTTTGTCTTCCTATTGTCATGAAGAATTGCTATAAGGCTATGAAAAATCTATCAATGTAGAACTTATTTTTATTCTTCGGTCTGTTACATCTCTAAAGCGGTTTATATTTTCAATAATATCGAATATTTTGTACTTTAACTAATTATTGTAACTAAACGTTCTTGACGTCGGTCTTGAACTCACTACTACTATTTACGATGGGTTTCTACTTTAGCTTTATTTATAATTTGTACACATGAACAAAAGTGTCTGTTCGGATTTCATCTTTTCGAAAGATTTTGTGCCGTTATAAACTGAAAAAAAAATTGTCTTTCAATATTGATTACACATTTTATCGTTATTTCACATCAAAATAGGTAATGTTGAGTAAATAGGAGATAAAATATATTTTCAATAGTGCTAAAGACGCTAAGAGACGTATTTTGACAAATTTGCAACATTTTAAAATGCATATTTAATAGCAGAATTTACGCATATTTGAAAATGATAACATTTCAATGTACTGAATGGAGATTAACTATTATAATTAAACACTTATTTATGCTTAAGAGATTGACAAACAAAGAGAAAATAGAGTTATCTGTTTTCATTTTTAATCCTTAGCACGAATACTTATATGCGTTTTCATATGTATTACAAATCGATCTTTTCAATAATCCAGCTGCATGCAACGATTTTTTCTTTTAATTATGTTTGTCGAAAAGATGATACCGTTGACACTGAGTTGGAACATAATTTATTAGTAGACGACGGCGAGTGACATTTGTTGTGGGAATACTTAAATTAAATTGCTGAAAGTGGTATTTGCCACATGGAATTAGCCTGCGTGTTCCGCAACACTGCACACATTCTATTATGCTACAAAAAATGCATAATTCAGTACTCCGGGACAAGTGCATGTCGGAGGTATTGAACCACTTTTATATCCACTGAAACACTTTTGGCTCTATTTTGGGATCAAGACGAAAGGATTTATTGAACTTATCTACATTCGATCCCGGTGTAATTTGTAAAGTTAAATGTCACATAAATTTGTTTGTAATCGTGCTAAACGTTTCGGCATTTCTTTTACTATAACTATTCCTCCCTTTCGTGATTATTTATTGGTATGAACGTAAATAAATGTTCGATGATTTTAATTTATTTGTTTTCTCATTATTTAAAAGTATAGGAGATAATTATTGGTGTCCTACTGATTTTCGTACTTACGTTTGTTCGCGCAAGTCTTCGAATTGCCCTTACAAACTTAAATTATTCTGGAAACGTATTATGATCATTCGAATTTGGGTTGTGGGATTGGATTATTCAATACGTCATCCATTCAATGATTAATTAACAAATTTATTAAAATATTCATATGATTTTGTCACTTTCTTCCAATACAGAAATGTTCTTTTCTTTCATTTGATTGCTGTTAATGTAAATTTGCGAAATATAACATTTAGTGATATTCTCCGAATACTCTCCGAATAATTTCATGTAATAATTTTGAATTGTATTACTTATATAAATTTAATTGGTTTAATCTTTACTGTATTGTAAAAGATCTGTTTGTATTTTTTTTTTTTGCATGCATTTACTCAAATAAACTTATTCGGCCAGATATGTCTTTCTGAATATTTTCAAGGTTTATTTTCAAATTAATCTTGGCCAAGACTTGTCTTAATTACAAATATTTTATTATGATGTCTTGATGTTCGTGCCGCTTCAATGATTTGAAGACCTAGTATGGAAAAATATCCACGTTCTCCAAGGAATCGTTTCCTAAAGTTATTTCTAATACAGTCCTACGTAGCCACCCTATTCACATACAACTTTTTAAATCACGCGCTCTGATATTTAAATAACAAAATTATATCAAAACTAACACCTTCATTTCTAAACCTATTTAAATCAATTTAACGAAAATATGACTACTAAAGAAACTATTTACATAACATGCGGTTATGTCACGTGTGGACATTTCTATCGCGATATTTCTTCTTCGCGTTCCTACTAGCTTTATTTTTTTCAAATTATGAAACATACCATGAAATTTAAAGTAAGTCTGTCTTTTGATAAATAATTCACGAAGTTAAACTTTGACTTCATCGTGCTCAAACTGTCTTCTCTAACCACGCAATCTAATACCAACTCACTGAATTTGAAATCATTCTGACATCCGTCTCACGAAAGTGTGCAATTGTTCTCACATCCATCCCTCCCGAAATCTGCTATCGTTCGCGCATTCGTGTCTTGTGAAATGTCCGATCGTTCTGACACAAAAGGCAGCAAAATCTAACATGAAACCTTTCCATGCTTTGTTCTCGATCTTCCGTAACTAATTTTGTCTGGACATTCTTATCCTGTTGACAGCCATCTTTCTCTTTTCTTGTCCCATACAAAGTGATAAAAACGTGACACAGTTCGTATTCTTCTTGGGAATATAACTTTTGACAAAATATTAAAATTTTATTTTCTGCAATATAGTTCGTCTCTTTCCACGTCTGTTTCTAATCACTGGTCCTAGTTCTCAACGTTCGCAATATTATATCATTTCAACCTCGATCAAATGCAAGTATTGAAATTCGCATATTTATATCCACATTTTATTTTGACTAAGGCAGAAAATGGCTGCCATACTGTCTGTTGATAAATACACTATGTTCCGAACTACTATCAATTTCTGTCTTAACGCCAATAAGGGGGTGTTTTCTAGATTTATTATTATTCCAAAATATTCCTAATCTCAACATATTTACGCATGTAGTGGATGGTTTGGAAAGAGTGATGTATTACAATTGTATTTAATCGTGACTCCATAAAAATATTGGAGTGAGTTAAAAAATAGGTTTTGACAGCGTAAAGCAAATACACACAAGGTGTTAACGATATAATAATAATAATAATAATAATAATAATAATAATAATAATAATAATAATGATAATAATAATAACGATGATGAATATAAGACAGATATGGTTCTTTTATTATTGTTTTTTTGATAAGAGGGAGGGCGAGAGACTTCTCGACGGCGGTGCGCCTCCCTGGTGCGTACGTGCGCCGGCATCGGCGTCGGCGTCGGAGGGCGCGCTCTGCCCGGGGCGTCGCGTGGCGGGTGCCGCGGCGCGTCTGCGCTCCGCTGCCTCAGCCGGACCCGCGCGGGTCCAGCGGGCGGACGGCCGCTATATTTGGCACCGCAGCCCTCACTCGCCGATCCACTTGGCGGGCCCGCGGCTCGCGCTATTTATACGGCGCCAACTTACCTTTGCTTGGCGCGGCTCCGGCGGCCGCCATCGCCGTCGCGGGCGAAAACCTAGACGCTACGACTTTTATTAGCGCAGCAGAGCTCTTGATAGAGCAAATAAAACGCCACTACCAAAGAGCATCGGTGCGGCCGCGGCGCCGCGACGCCCGGCCTATTCGCGCTCGCAACCCCGTCGCGGCGCGGGCGGCGCGGCGCCGTGCGTCGCGGGCCGGGCGCTGGGAGAACGACCCCCGCCGCCGGCGCGGATCTTGCTACTTGACCTTGCCAGCTCGGAATTTGCCTTGGAAGGATTCGTCAGGGTGAAACACCGGTAGGCCGTGAACTGCTAGCAATCACTGAAAAGGGTTCAGGCCTTTTTCAATGCTGGTACGTTCAAAGGAGGATGTCCGGAGGGTGATATAATCCAATCGTTCTGCTACGAAATGACTCCCGTGTAAATAGCCAAGCGCTTTGTGTGTCTCGAAACTCCTTTGCATCTCCAGACAGGATGTGGGGAGATAACCTGCGAAAATAGCTTAATATTCTCTTGAGAGGTAGTGTCTGGGGTAGAGAATTAGTCTTATAGTTCGACGGAGCCTCGCCTTTGTCGGAAGTTTTTTCCTCAACGGTGCTGTAATTTTTGGGCGTGTTAAATTCGAATTTCATGTTTGCCACCTCGAAAAAGGTCAGCATCAAAGAGAAAATTGCAGACAGCCCTACAAATTCCAGCCTTACTTTTATTATTTTTTCACTTACATCCAAATCCATAAATTTAACGAAATAGCTATAATTTACAAAATTAAAGTTGATAATATTTTCTACAAAATGCATATATTAACGTTAGTTTTATGAAAATCGGTTTAAGGGCTAGGACGCAATGAAAAATGGCGACTTTTAGGCCTTCTGGCCAAAAAGGGAGATTAGGCCCCCTCTTCTATCTCGCAGCGGCACCCCCCTAGTTTCACTACATCATGCTTGAAAAAAACTATTGTGGAAGAACATTGTTCAATTATAAGCATTCTGATACTCTCATAATAAGCAGTCATCTTTAGTCGCGTTTTGTGTCTACAAAACACAGCCTTGGATAAACAAAAAATGACGGAAACAAGAAAAGAGTGGAGCAAATTCGTACTATATATGTTTATGCAATTTATGTTCATCGAATATTTGTGCCTGCAATACTATTTGTCAATATTTTCCAAGTTATAAAGGGAATGTTGAACTAGTTAATTTTGTAAAAACTACTTCGAAAAATAAACTGGGAAAAATAGAAATATAGCACCATTGTATAAACATACGGCAGAAAGGAATCTCAGAAAATCACCAATTCCATCCAATCACCGATACGGTCTGTTTTTTGAAAGAACGTGATTTGCTATTATTTTTTCCTTGATTAGTCATGACTCATGACATTATTAGTCAATCTTTGACCAAGAATGAAGATAACCGTGTGAGTGATTAACCAAAAATGATTTACTTCATCGTGGGGAATACAAATGCAAATCATATTCTGTAAAAGAATAGACCACAGTCTGTGTAGACTTGGGTGACGTTGCGAGTGTATAAGGCGTCTGCCTTTACCAGAAGATGTAACACTGCAATGGAGAGACATCTGACTCGAGCTTGAATGATATTTATTGAGAGGTGGTACTTACGGTTCATACACAAAACCCCCTGTCTCTTCCGACATCTCGTATCTTCTAGCCACAATTCTAATGAGAGTGTTAGGTGAAGCCTACAACTTAGGCTTATATGAAACTTTAGATACGAGTATAATTCGGATATATACGTCAGCGGTAGTTAAAACAGTTTACTGACTCTTCTCCCCATCCGAAGAAAATTTCTTCTGTTTGAGAAAAGTATGTCCTCTTGCTCTGTGCGGTGGTAAACACAAAACTACAAGATTTAACAAGCTGGGCTAGAAACACGACTTGACATCAAGAAACAAATTATCGGAAACATTGCCTAGCCCCCCCTCCCATTAAACCCCAAGCCATAAATTCAGTCTGAGGGTTATCCACCAAATGCAATAGTGATTTGGAAATGTTTTGAGCCCTTAGAAGTGGGGGTGGAAATCGATCAGGAACGGTTTGATCCCCAAAACCAATCTGCATGCTCCAGCTCTGGGGACGCCTCTACAACGTATCCCCTGTAAAATGCAAGAAGGACTGAAATGGAATTTGTGGATGTAGATGAGTAGCGCATCAACAGTGGCTGCAGGAGGAGAACGAACAAGTTGCCGACCGATCATATCTCGGACATGTTCGATGGGCGCGAAGTCAGGCGAACGTGCAAGCCACGGAAGCAGTCGTCGTTCTTCGCAGAAAGATTGTACATTCCCCGCCACATGCGGTCGAGAATAGTCCTACTGAAATATGGCATGTGGAGCTGCTCGCAGGAGGGACAGTATCTCGGACTCTTGCTGTTCATATTGTCTTTAATACGTATGAGGCGAGATCATACATTGTAGCCAGAAACCATCACACTTGGCGTTTGTCCGCTATGGCACGGAACAAAGCAGGCTGATAATTGCAATCATAACGGTAGCATCGAACGCGTACGCGGCCATCGCTGTAGTGCAATTTAAAGTGTGGCCTCATTGTGTGGTCCAGAACCCGCCCCTCTCTGTGCATGACGCTCCTCCATCTACTAGATCTATACACGCATCACTATCGTAGTAGAGCGTCCCGTACGAGCCGAAATATCAACGAGCATTCAACAAACCCACTTCTCTGAGACCGATCATTTTTTTCCGTTAGAGCTCACTCAGATCTGTTGTTGCGCCCTTTGATGTCGATAGGGCATACCGGCCCTTGCTTGCACTTTTCCACGTCGTTTTACGGCTTTACTCCGACAGTGTATGGTGTAACACTGCCCTGACCTGTCGCACAAAGGAGAGCTCTGCTAGACCAACGTGCACGCTATCGCTGTGCAAATTTAATCACTTCTTATGGATACAATGTCCTACAAATTCACCGATTTTTAAATGATTCCAACCATTCTTTCTGAGTGTTGCAATTTTCACAATCACCAGTGTATATGTTAAAAAGTATTTCCCATGCGTAAAAGAAGCATAAATACAACAATAATCCCGCATAATAATACCTACATTTTATTTGTACTTTACGAAAAAATTATCAGGACACGTTTCGACATCTCGCATTGACAATTCCGTTGTAAGATTTCCACAGTGATTAGAACATGTTTCTTAGGCTACTTACCCAGACACCATACATCTGGTCGTGGATTGTACTTGCAGTTTTTTTACTCGACAACGTTACAATTTAAACATCGATTGTATAAAATCTTTCACCGTTGATTAAAAATGCTTCAGCTTGGATTTTAAAGCAAAGAACTGATTAAATGATAATATAGTTTGATCGGGTATCTTTCAATTTCATCCAACCAATGCGTCGAAAAGGCAGAAAGAGATTGACGTTAGAGTTTTCATTTCTCTCCTCATTCATCTTGCATCGAACAGATTTCCTTGCGAGGGCTGAAAATTAGATTTCAACGGAACTTCGGAAGCGGATATTAATAAAAATAACTTTTGTTGAAGTTAATCACACTTTTTATGATTTAAATAAAGATAATGATATAGATATTTTTGAGAAGTGGTGTTCCGAAACATTTACAGAGAGCAACTACTAATATAAATACTTTAAAAATGAATTTCCACAAATCATCTCCTTACCTCACGAAAGTTATGTAAGAGTTGGAACACCACGCGTGATATGAAATCTTATTTCAGTAGAAATAAAATTTGTTGTTCTTGCTGAATATTGACCAACCTCTTTCTATGATTTTGCGAGATTTGAACAGAAGTAACTTTCCTCATTTGAATTTCATGGGTAGATTGCGTAAATATTACGGTTAAAAGTAAGAGAGATAGAAGCACAAGTTTTAGAGTAAAGTCATTTTTGAACTCCCATGTGTTGCATGTAGAGCTGATTTCCTCCAACAGAAAGAATAGGGGCAAATAGGAAAAGGTACGGTAGAAAAAGGTGCTAAAATAAGTTCTTCTTTAGAAGAGCGTCTCCGTTACGTGGTGTCCACAGGCGAACGGACAGACAGACGGATACATTTTGAAAAAAACAACACTTTTTGGTATCAGGGGACACCAAAACTGTTGAACTCTCCAAATCGATGTTTCACAGCATTACATAACTTCTCCTATACTACGTAATATTACTTCTATACGTATTTACCGATTACGTACGTATACGGGAAAGTAAAAATAGAGGTTTTTAACCTTTAACGTCGCTTGTTCTCTTTTACGGCATCATAAGCAATATCTAACATCGTATTTTGTCATCAGACCGTTTAGGTGCGTAATAATTGTGAAAATATGTTATTTAAATACATATGTTCATACTTAAATAAATATTTCATCAATGTTTGCAATATTTTTAGGATATTGCAAACTTAAAAATATTTTCATTTTTTCTGCAGATAAATTGTATGAAGATGCCAACAAAACGAAAAAAATCATATGACCTCTCAAAATTTCGTAGAAAACTGCATATGTGTACTTGGTCACCCAGAATTACTGGACACACAATTCCAGTTTACCCTCAGGAGTCATAAACAAGGTTGAGATGACTGCGTTTTGGGGGGGGGGGCGATTTTAAATCAGGTAAGGGGAAACGACTGATTTCTCGGCTCCTTTTCTATTTAATTCGCTCAGTGTTAAAGGAAACCAAGTTGATTACCGAGTGTGAAGTTTTCAGCGGGCGAAACAGAAACCACAAACATACTAGTTTTACGTGTGCGAAAGAAAGCAACTGTTTCTATTTCATATATCAAATACTCAACTTTATTAATCATTATAAATTTTAATATACAACAATTTTAATGTGTAATTAATGTAAATTATTTTTTATGTCATATAATTCATTTTTACTGTTTCATGAATGCTGAAGGAGTAAGGCAAACGTTACGTAATTTTTTAAGGGGATTCAAGCTTCCGTTACTGGAAAATATCCAAAACACTCCAAATTTGCTTTACGTAATGTAAGAACGGCCCCCAATTGAAATAAACAAATAATCCATTCCGTATCAATGCAAAAGGATTGCTTGTGATACAAATTGTAATATTTAAAAAATGGATTCTTCGTATTATTAATATTGATTTTACGATTGAGGCATGTTTGCAAAAATTGTTTCACTCCATGCTCCGCTGAGAGAAGAAATGTTTATTCTTTTCCGCTGCTCGAGCCTTTTCCTCATGGGCCAGTCGTTGAGAATGAGAACACAAAACACGGCTGCATCGTTAACAAATGGATGTCTACCAGACGCCTGTTCTGCGGACGGCGAGATTATTTCGGCGCGTCCTTGCTACTCTCCATCATTCTGCACGTCCTCCGAATACCGACCCTCTCGTTTCGATTGACATGCTTGGAATTCCTATACTAGAGACCAATGATTGACTATTTTTCTCAACACCAACATTAACTAATTTTAATTACGCAAATGATTTGCTTTATAAGTTAGTCAATTTCTTTGTTTCTAAAGAAAATATGAGAGCAAGTTCTTGCATGAATGAATTAGAGTGAGTATATTAGAACTAGTAGCAATGTACAACATTTCCAAACTTTCGCTCTTCTCAGTCTTATTACTCAACAATTAGCCAAAGTTTTAAAAAAATAATGGCATCATTTAAATATTTACAATTAAATGAAGTTATGCAAAAAACATTCAAGCTACAAGGATAAATATGATTGAAAAATGGCTTGGAAAATTAGAACATAGTTTAAACTTTCGATTTCTAAGGATGTACGCACATGATTAGGGATGTGACACTAGAAAAGTTCTACGTATTCACTATATGGAAAATAGAAAACCGAAAAAAGATTGTTTATCTCATTCAGTATTATATCTCGAAGACTAATGAAATGAGAGTGATTTTCTCATTCTAGAACAATTACTAACCACTATTCATTGTGAGCTCAGCCCATGATGTTTCTGAGAATGAAATGGAATTTTATATGAGCCAATATCTGTCCATGTATGCTGTACGGCAAAGCAATCCTGGTGTTCTCCTTACCTTAAACACGTAATGCAACATACTGTATATAATTATAGTTATTGAATTTTATTGTGAAAGAGCATATCAGTTGATTGCTGTACATTGCGTTTACATACACTCCCACAGTCACTAAACACTCTTTAACTTGAGAAAACTGGTTACATTAGATTCTCTAACAACCTGACACATGTTTTCTCGAAGACGAAATATCGAATGCATTCAATAGAGTGATACAACTGACTCCTCAATGAAATAATAAACATATATATTCATATGATGTCCGGGGAGGAAATGGCGAAACTTCGAAAATAAGCTCTTAAGACAATTTTAAGCATACTATCATAAACCAATTGGATATTTCGAATACCTTCGAAAATCGAAGTAAATTCGAAGTCGCTAAAACACTTAACAACTGATTTGGATTGATTCGAGACAAAATTTTGCATTACAGAAGCAATTTTTCAAACCAACCTTCAGTGCTTATTGTGCTTCAACCATTTGGAATACCACAGTACATTATTAACCAAAATGTGTTTAAAATTGTCTTAAAAGCTTATTTGTAAAGTTTTGACGTTTCCTCCCCGTACACCTGAGTATCTCCAGATTTTCTGGTACAAAATTCTCACTTGCACCAATCTCGTCATTGGAACAGTAATAATAGATTGTAATTTTGTTGTGCTGTGCAGTTACAGGTCAAAAGAACGTCAAACACGGATTTTATGATCCAATATTAGAGATTGAATAATTACTTGGTGATTCCAATACGTTTACTCCCTGTGCTTTAGTATAATGAGGGAAGGGAACTAATAATTTTACAATAGCACATACTTTCTCGCTTTATCTCTTACTTTTCGTAATTTTCAAAAATTCTGAGTTCAACAAAAATAAGACCTGCGACATTTTTTAAGTGTGCCTTGTCCTTATTCGTAGAAAAATTAAAGAAACAATTTAGAGAGTTCTTTTAAAGATTTTTAATAATTTACAGTGACGTCAGGCAGAAATTACGTGAGAACTCTTTTGAACAGAAGAACATAACCTTTTTTTAAACATTTGAATTTTGTTACAATAGATTTAATTAAAGAAAAAAATCTCTTTAAACTGACGGACGAACAGATCGGCAGAGATTTTGCTGTCAATCGAATTTTCGGTATGAACGCCCCCCAAAACATTGTTTTTGACTATACTAAATAGAGGAAGTAATTTACTACTTATAGATATAGGATGTATTAAGTTTTTCGTTAGCTTGGCTCCGCATTAAGAATTTTCCGATCGAAAAATTGCCGTTTCCGGGCGCACAATTACAATACTTTCTCTGAGAAAGTAAAAATATATTTCGTATGGTGATATGGAACGATTGGATTAGGGAACGTGCAGATGGATATGTTCTTATTTTATTTTGATATATGATTATATGACTAGTGTATTTTATTATTTACAACAGTTAACGATAAAGTAAGAATTGTGAATTCTCGTACTATATTCCTCTTACATGTCTGACAATGTTACTCTAGACTTTTTATCTTTTCCTCTGGTTACTTGTTGGGAGCTGAAGATTATCTGCCGAACTTACTGAAAGCCTCGGGCAGCTGAATCGTAAACAGCTGCGGAACAGCACTCACCATTGCAAATTGATAGACGCTCTTCGTTGAGAGGCGGCTAGCGATGTTGCCAAATTGAAACGCAGGTAAGTCGGATTCTCGTAGTGTAGAGTAATCCTTATACCTGCAGATAGGCAACCAACAAAAACCTTGCTAAATTCGTGTTTAAATTAATTTTTATATAATTTTTGTCGCATTCTGAATTCCGAAAATAGAACTGACTGATAATCGGTTTTGCGTGTTTTGTTTTATGAATATGTATTGCACGGATTCGCCAGCACTGATGCGGAAGCTACTGACATCTTATCCGACATTGCCCACATCTCGCAATCCTATGGCCTCAAAAACAACTCTGAAAAACCAAAGCAATTGTAACTGATGGGTGTATATCTTTCAGCAGTCCAGATAGAGCAGTTGTCAGAGTTCAAGTACCTTGAGTCGCTGGTTCGAGAGAGAAAAGTGGCGTCCCTGGCTGATATCCACAGCAGAATTAGGCTCGCAGAAGCGGCGTTTCTTAGCACAAATGGTGTCCATGGAAGCATGAGAAAGACTCGCTCAAGACCAGAATCCGCCTCTTTCGGACATATCTTCCCAATACTCCTCTTTGAATCTAAGACGTGGGTGACGTGGGCCTGACCTCGCCAAGCTCGAGATATTTCATATGCGATGTCTACGTCAGATAAAGGGATTTGTATCCGCGACAGTGTTCGAAAAGAAGTCATTCGTGTAAGATGTGACCACCAGGTTCCCATTGAAGACCGAATTCAAAAACGGCGATTGTAATGGTTCGGTCATGTTTGTCGAATAAGCACCACCCGACTACCGCACCAACTCCTCTGGCGACAATGACCAACCCAATGGAAGATCCAGGGAGCGGCTCCAAAGAAAACCTGCATCAAGAACATCGAGGAAGTTCTGAAGAGCCACCATTACACCGGCGATGCCAGGGACCTAGTTAATCCACGCGGCACCCAATGCAGCATAGCAGCACCCAAAGCGAGCCAGGCCCCTCCACCAACCGCAAGAAGAAGAAGAAGAAGAAGAAGAAGAAGAAGAAGAAGAAGAGAGAAAGAAGAGAAGAAGAAGAAGAAGAAGAAGAAGAATGGATTTCCAGTTAAAGAAAAGTAAATAAATTATTCACCCCCTTTACTAGAAAACATATTACTAGCAAGTTTATTAGTGCAACTTTCAGAATTGAAAACATTGTTTCGTGCCCAATCACCTTCACTTCTTGTTGAATTTCTTTAAGTTGGGTAATAATATATATGATTATCATATAATATATATGATATATATATTATATATATATATATATATATAATATATATATAATGGCGTTAGTTCGAAATGCAGGGAATGTCAAGAGTAGCCGGTTAATTCGCACATTGCATTTTCTGACAATAAAACGCAATGAAATCGATTCTTGGTTCCCGTTTTGTATCCTACTCACGTTTTCTTGGATTTTCAAAATGATTGATGGAGTAAAATCTAGAGTGAGAGCAGAAAAGCATGAGAGTGCATGAAATCGAAATAACTGGGTAATGCTGGTGTGGTTCCTAACGTAAGTGCAAATACATTAATGAATACTGAGATGCTTGTGCTCTCCATTTCAATGCTGGATGAAAAGTTGATCGTGTAAATGGGTTTTGAACAGAAGATTAAGGATTATAATAAATCGAAGAAATTCGGAATTGGATAACGCAAAGAGTCTTTTGTTTTACTACCACAGTAAATTTTGCATAGCGTCTCCATTCCACGCTCGTATTTTTGTGATATTACTAATATTACAGTAGATTAAATCTTTTCACCATATATTCAAAGAAATGCCGACAACTTTTGAAAAAAAAGCCTTAAACTTGTGAAATGCTTGTGCAAATCTTCTGATATTACGTTTAGAATGGTTCTGGGAGAATGATGTAATGAAATATCTTAAATTTATTATTTAAGTTTCACATCCTTCATGAAATTATTTTCTTTTAATTTCCATTCTCTCTTATTCTGGGTCGAGGGTATTAATGTTGTAGAACAAAAATGCATTGTTTCATGAAGTTCATCAGTCAACATACTTATTTGTAGATGTGTACTGATTATGAGCAATGCTTTGACGAGCAATCTTTATGATCTGGAGCACATGTACGCATAAAAACATTTTGTATAACATTAGTTTAAGTAACATAAACATTAAACGTAAGTTTGGGAGCCAACGTGTTTGCGTTATTGTGTTTTTTTCCTTATTTCATTAAATGTGTTTTTCGCAAATGTTGCCCAGAAAATTTCCTAGACGTAAATAATTTGACGTTTGAAATGCTCGATAATAATTTTTCTCTAGTTCCTGATAACATTTAATTTTCTCTGATTTAGGAATATATCACTGGACTTCTACGCTTCACATGTGTCCCCAGGGCGAATTGGGGAGTATCACTAAAGCAATAACCGATTTAGCATAAGTTATATTCTGCAAGTAAACGGAGCAGAGGCAGCTGAGAATTTTTCCGCGATTTCTCCAAGACTAACACACTAATTGATGATTGCTTAAACAAACTGTCACAACATCGCCGAATCCTTCAAATTTATTTAAGTCGCTCCCATTCCACCCCATGTGTTCTCCACGTGTGGAATTCGAAGTGTCATTTTTCGATGCGTTTTTACGGGATCACGGAAACACGCTGTATTTATTCGATTTGGACTTCTTGGTTCCGTGGCCTTTCACCTTTAAGCGGCAACGCAGGTCAAATGTCAAAGCTGAAAAGAGTTCGAGCGCGAGCCGGGGGGGGAAGGTGGGGTGTGGCGGGGCGCGGCAGGGTGGTGCGGGGTGGCGGGGCGGAGAGGGGGGCGTCGGGCGGGGCGAAGCAATCATATCGAGTACCGCCTCCCGCTTGCGCCGGGTCGCAATCAGCCGCGTTCGCGGAATAGGCGCCGTGTTGGACTTCTCGCATTCGTTTCCTCCGCGCCCCCCCCTCTCCCCACACCTCCCACCTTCCAGTATTACGCTTGAATTTAACCCTCCCGTTCCGGGCCTCATTTATCTTTATGATCACCTCACGGTTTTGGCATTACGACCAATGCTCTCATCTTTTCATGTAATGGAAACATCTTTAATTCTCATTACTAACTTTATAGTGCGTATAAAAATTATTCATTATTAACTTGATTGATTGATTGATTGATTAGTGATTCCGGGCGCGTCAACTGTGGAGGTCATTACTCTCGTAAGTGCATTGTTAGTGCATGTTTTACCGGTGGTGGTGGTGGTGATCCTCCCCGCTAGATGAGGGACCGGGCCGATCGGGCCGACCTCCGACCTCGTTGGCTTGTGGGGTTTTCCCCAACCAGATATATCCCACTAGCGGGGCACCGACTCACCAGAGTTCAAGGCCCATGCGCCCGACTGGTCTCCCGGTATATGTGGTAGTATAGTGCATGTAAGTGTGTGATTAAGGAGTGAAGATAGAACAAGGAAGAGGAAGGAAAGAGCGTCCGCGGTCCGTTTCTTCAGGTACTGCTCCGGCAATGCCTGATGTTGATGGGATAAATCACGGAAAACTGTTGATCAGAGTGGCCGGCGGCATGAATTCTCCCTGGAGTGTGGCTGAATTGAACGTTGCTTATTAATTTGGTCTAAAGGAGTAAAGTAATACCTTTCCCTTCGGACTAGAGCTTAGGTTATCATTTGCTGTCGGTTCATAGAATACCTACTTTTCATTGCAATATCATTTGGTAGAAAAAAGTATCTTATGAATTGTCTTCTTTTTCGTTCCTTCTCTTTGCGTTTTGTATTCTCGTTCTCTCATTATTCATCTACGTCTGTAATGATTTAAATTCATCTGACACCTTTCTTGGTATTGTGCAGCTTTCCAATTAAAATTAAAATTATGAAAAAAAATAACACTTCAACTTCCTCAAACGACGATAATGAAGGTGCTATTGGTAGAGAGTGGAAGGATTACCTCGACATTTCAAAAGATGACGTTAAAATTACCAACACCATTCATTTTACATCTTCTAACTTTCATTTCCTCAAAAAGGAAAACATAATTCAATTGTAGACGAAGCGAACTGCCAATTATATTGTTTTCAAGTTATAGGAAATGGAAAATAATGTTTTGTTGTTTTTTGCAAGCTGTCGTTATTCGCAAGCTGTGAACTTCACATTTCACCTATTTTCTGGCCGCTCATGCATTACTTTCTAAAGTTAAAATTACTGTCTCACACTCACATTCGATGGTATACACGTAGACATACGATAGACGTCTATGAATTATTAACAACGGATTGCCATATATTTCTTTCTCAATGTATGATGTGTTATTTATATCTGTCATGAGGCACTGAAGGGAAGGGAGGTCGTATGGCGATCCTTCTGGCTCGTATTATTTTCCTTTAGTCTGAAAACATAATTTCCGTGTTTACGAGCCATGATATTATTGTGTTCAGCTAGTTTACTTTGATCTTAAAAGAAACTCAATGTCAGTTAATACTTTTGCATAATTTACAAGAACTAACATTGTTTCGCAAAAGCAAAACTAAAACTAGTGATACACGTAAAAAACTCGATGAAATTCAATTCCCGGTAACAAAATCACAAACTTTGTTGTATTAGGTATGGCTGTAATAAGTCAACGTATATGAACAAATTAACCCTATTTTTAGTAAAACGTGGACGGGGGTTTCATGCTTGAGTTGGTACAAATGTCAGATTTATCATTGTATTGATGCACTTTGTATATTACTAAACGGGTACACGTCTGTATACTACAGGTACAATTAAAGCTGTAGTGTACAGCTGTGTAGCGCCAAAAGTTAAGGCGAAAGTAATCGGCATTCATGTATTCGCATTTTTCTAAAAATAGCGTTTTTATCAAAGTCATTTTGATTTTGTCTCTGTTTTGGTCTTTCATGTGGTCTCTTTATACTCGGGATAATAGTGAATTGTTCAGTTGACATAACTGTAGACAAATTAGTTCACGAAATTAGAAGAATATAAGTGGAGAAATCATCCATCAATTAAAATTGCCAAGTTAAAAAATAGAAGTTTTAAATTAAAAAAAAAGATTCTGGAACGAAATAATTATCTTTCGGCTTTAACCCAAACAATTTTCCCCCTTCATCAGTAAATATTGTATCCACACTTATCGACAGTGATAGAGGATTCTAAGAACCTTTGGCCAGGCACACACATATTTGGGCCAGTCAAAACGACCTTATTATTCGAAGTAAGATCGTCTTATCACATCTGAAATATTCCTGAAATTGATTCAAATAAATGAATGAACCTAACTCCGCAATCAGATCCCCTACTTTCATAATAGGTCGTTATCTCTCGATAACCCTCCCCCCACGCCTGTCGATCTATTACCGCATATCAACCCGGGCCGCGTCTTTATCTGCGTGGCGGGGCAGCCGGTGTCGCAGGCGCGGCGTGGCGCGGCGTGGCGGGGCGGGGCGTGGCGCGGCGGGGCACGGGCGCGCAGTTGGGCCCCGCTCTCCGAGATGGCGCTTCGTGCCTTCGAGGGCTGACCGCCGCTGCGCGCCGCGCGGGCCGGGGGCCATCGAGGCGGAAGCGAAGTGCGCGGTGCGGGCGAGGGGGCGGCCGTCCAGTCCGTTCGCCGTGATGCGACGCCGCCGCAGTCGGTTCA